TTCTTCTGCCTCAGCCTCCTGAGTCGCTGGGATTACAGGCACATGCCACCATGCCCAGCTAATTTTTTGTAGTTTTAGTAGAGACGGGGTTTCACCATGTTGACCAGGATGATCTCGATCTCTTGACCTCGTGATCCACCCGCCTCAGCCTCCCAAAGTGCTGGGATTACAGGCTTGAGCCACCGCGCCCGGCCCCAGAGTTTTTAAGGATGATTTGGTGGGTAAAATCGTGGGGATTCGAAGCTGTTCTCTGCTGCTGAGTCAGTTCCTGGGTGGGGGGCACAGAACTGGTTGGCAGGTCCAGGTGGGGCCATCTGGTTTTTAAAAATGAAAAACCTAAAAAGACAATCTCAAAAGGCAGGTCTTAGGTCCACAAGAATAATTGGGGAAGTTGTAAATCTTATCACCTCCAGAATAATGGCAGGTAAGAATTCTAGATCCTCTCCTGACTTAGTACCTGGTGGCCTTTCACTTGTTTTACAAGAAGCGTTTAGCGTTTTGGGAAGGGCTGTTTAAACAAACTAGGTACATGAAAATCCTTCTCAAAGCTAGTTTGCCCTATGCCCAGGACTGAACAAGGACAGTTTAGAGGTTAGAAGCATGAGAAGGGTCAGTTGGGTCTGATATGTCACTGTCATAATTTTCTGTTTATATTTGCAAAAGTGTTTTCATGGGCACTTTATAAAGATGAAGTCGTGTCATCCTGCCACCCTGTGAGGTAGGTTCAGTTATGCTGGAGTGGATGCTAAGGTTAAACTGCTCCCCCCTGGTCTCCGTTAGGTGATGGCTCCAGCTAATGGGTTTGGAACCATCACATTCTGCTGCTTGTCTTGGTTCCCAAGGTGAGAGGTTCACATCCTCTGTGACACCAAACACAGCTGGCCAGTGCTACAATGAATGCCCGCTGCTTTGTCTCTAAGACTTACCTTTATCAGGTGTATTCAGTGTTTAGAGCCTGGTGTGCAGTAGGATCGGGTGGCCTGCATCTTGCGGGATGCTCGAGATGGAAAGCCAGTGAGCCAGCAGCCAGCACTGGCCCCACCTGACTGTGCAGTTAGGCTGAGTTCCCTTGTATCCCATGAGGGGTATGCAACTAAACGCTTTTTTATTGATTTGAATATTTGAGTACCTAATGTGGCTCAGGCTAGGTACTTTCTAACCTTGAGGCAGTTGAGTAAATGAGCAAAATGAAGTGTTGAATGAGGGAGAGACAGAAGTGTTTCAATTTGTGAGAACTAAAAGAGGGTTGAGGAGGCTTTTATTTTTTTATTTTACTTTGAGATGGAATTTTGCTCGTCACCCAGACTGGAGTGCAATGGCGTGATCTCGGCTCACTTCAGTGACTGCTTCCCGGGTTCGAGTGATTGATTCTCCTGCCTCAGCCTCCCCAGTAGCTGCAACTACAGGTGGGTGCCACAACACCTGGCTAATTTTTACATTTTTAGTAGAGATGGGGTTTCACCATGTTAGCCAGGCTGGTCTTGAACTTCTGATTTCAAGTGATTTCCAAGGAAGGCTTTAAGTAAGAAAGGACATGAGGTGACGACAAGTAGAAAAGACAGAAAAGGCTGGGTTTGGTGGCTCACGCCTGTAATCCCAGCACTTCGGAAGGCTGAGGCAGGATAGCTTGAGCCCAGGAGTTCGACGAGCCTGGGCAATATAGTGAGACCCTGATTCTATCTTTATATGTATATATGTCTGTGTATATGTATATATAATATAAAAAACATAGGGAAAAAAGATCTGTTATTCCAGAAGCACAGGAGAAGAACCAAGAAAAGGGGGAAAGCAATAATACTGTGTGTAGGCACAATGCTACATGTCTACATGGTGGCTTTTTTTTTTTTTTAGCTGGGATTACATGTGCCTGCCAACACGCCTGGCTAATTTTTATATTTTTAGTAGAGATAGGGTTTCACCATGTTGGTCAGGCTGGTCTCGAACTTCTGACCTCAGGTGATCCACCCTCCTGTGCCTCCCAAAGTGCTGGGATTACAGGCGTGAGCCACCGCACCCGGCCCACGGTACCATTTAATCCTCAGAAATGACTGCTTTTCTTTTTACAGCTGGGAGTACAGGAGTGAACATTTTCATATATAAGAGCAATATGCTGTCGAAGCCTCTTCAGTAGGAGGTTGACATAACTTAGCTCCACCCATGTGGTCCCAAAGCAAACTGATGTAGACAGGCAGACGGGTCACATACCCTGCCAGCCAGCTCCGTCCCAATATCTGCCCTGTCTCTGCCAGGCCTCATTAGGATTACCCAGCATTTGAAATTCTGCTAGATCTTAGAATCAGTAAGAAAGTAGGCCAAGGATTTTAGAAAAATAGAAAATTTTAATCTTTACATAAAACATGTCCAGACCCCTAATTGTTTTTAAAGTTTTTCCTCCCCTCCAAATCAGTAGAGCATAATAAGTCTTGGCTTACACTGACCTGATTTATAAAATATCTTCCTCTGTGCACTTTTCCTTCAGTCTCAGGCTCTCTGCTGATCTGTTCACAACAGAAGCAGCTCGGCTTTCCTCTGGGAGCACCAATTTGAAAGCCCCCCAGCCCGCAACCCTAGAGTCCACTCTCCCGCTCCGGGTCACAGAATTTCATTCTCTCCTGCTCTGTAACCCAAGGACCCTACGGCCTCTGAGGCCCAACACCCAAGCTCTGCCTTGCAGAAGAGCTAAGATGCTAAGGAGACCGTCTACAGTGTCACAAGCCCTTAGGATTTGTTGAGCTCCCACATGGCCCGCTTGCTCCAACCACATTCCAATTGGGACGTGTGTCTTTAAGGCACCAAGTGATGTCAAGAACTGGCTGTTCCTTTGAATACAGCGATCCAAGTTCCTATCTCAGTGGGACCTCAAAAAAAAAAAAAAAAAAAGGATTGGCTCTGCTTCTTATGTAAGGCCTGCCTTTTACATACCAGTTGTGTGTTAATGACTGCTGGATACCAGTCCACACCCCCTCAAACACTTCATAGTCCCAAACGGGGTGCTCCTACAGGTCCCAGCGTCCTGTTAGTAGAAGAAAGGCAGCTCCAGGAAGTCTCTTTCTAGCCTTCATGACAGAAAGTAGCTAATCCTCTGGGAAATGGACTTACAGCCCTGGGAAGAAAAGAGCTGTTCCTCCTTGGGGACATACACCATCATCTGGGCGATTTCATCCAGTGTCTCTTCTGTATACAGGAGCTCCTGGCTCAGGAAGGCATCCCGCGCACACAGCCTGACGTGACGGTACTCCAGTGGCAGGAAGGGGATGAAGTAGTCAATCAGGTTTTCCCTCACAAGACAGCTGTGTCCAAAGCCATTGTCTGAAATCAAGATCAGAGTTACATGGAGTCTGAGCTGGGGCTGAACCTAGCTGAATTTGGGGGTAAGGGGAGGGGCGTTGCTGTTTGTTTCTTTTAAACAGGGTCTTGCTCTGTCACCCAGGCTGGAGTGCAGTGGTATCTTGGCTTATTGCACCCTCCACCTCCTGGTTTCAGGGGATCCTCCCATCCTAGCCTCTGAGTACTGGGACCACAGGCGCACGCCATCACACCCAGCTAATTTTTTTTGAGACCGAGTCTTGCTTTGTCACCAGGCTGGAGTACAGTGGCGCGATCTTGGCTCACTGAAACCTCTGTCTTTTGGGTTCAAGCAATTCTTGTGCCTCAGCCTCCCAAATAACAGGCACCTGCCATCACACCCAGCTAATTTTTTTATTTTTAGTAGCAACAGGGTTTCACCATGTTGGCCAGGAGGGTCTTGATCTCCTGACCTCATGATCCACCCACCTTGGCCTCCCAAGGTGCTGGCATTACAGGCGTGAGACACGGTGGCACCCGGCCAACTTTTGTATTTTTGGTAGAGACAGGGTTTCACCATGTTGGCCAGGCTGGTCTCAAACTCCTGACCTCAAGTGATCTACCTGCCTCAGCCTCCAAAAGTGCTGGGACCACAGGTGTGAGCCACCACGCCTGGCCCCAGCTGGGTTTTTCTTTTTTTTTTTTAAAGATGGGGTTTCACCATAGTGGCCAGGCTGGTCTTGAACTCCTGACCTCTAGTGATCCACCCACCTCGGCCTCCCAAAGTGCTGGGATTACAAGCGTGAGCCACCACGCCCGGCCCCCAGCTGGGTTTCAAGGTGTCCCCAAACCGAAGGGCTGGGCAAGGTTGGATCTCATCTCTCAACTCCAGGAGTGCTGTCTGCAGTGTGTGTCAAGAGCTCCACAGCTGCGTCTCCTTTAGGTAAAGTCTCCCAGTGAGACTCCTGGGGCTACTGCAAACTACTCTTTCCAAGCATTACCAGAAAAGGAGCTCAGGCTCTCTTAGCACTTTCCCTGTGCAAGGTTGCTGATATGAGAGGATTATGGTCTGCCCGCCTCATAAACACACTTTCCAACAAACACGTTAATTAACCCCAGCTGTGGCTCTCACCAGAGGCATATTTTTTTGTGTGACTGGGAGTCACTTACTTACCTATGGTTTCCACGATCTCCGCCTGGAGGTGGGGCTCCAAGTGTTCCATCGTAATTTCTTCCCGGGACCATCCATCCTTGAGCAACTTTAGGACCACCTCATTGATTATATTGCCCCTGAGATTACTGAAGGAGACAAGAGCTTGTTAACCCATGTCTTTGTTACATGACCACTGAAGCCAATGCATGGGTGCCTGGAAGAATGAAGGCTGAGGGGCGTGAGCCTTCTCTGTCTTCCAGGAGACAGGAGACCTTGTCACAACTCAAAGGTCTGCACAGAAAAGACACTGTCCAGCGTGGCCACCCATTCTCTCTTGTTCCCTTTTGAGACACACTGAGACTGCTAGGTGCAGGGAGCATAAAGATGGTAGGAAGTGGTTTTTTTTTTTTTTGTTTGTTTAATGTGGTTTTATTCTTAGATACATTTTAGTTATATAGATAAAAATATACAATATTGCTTTTAAAACTTCTAATTTTATAACTAACTGTATAACTGATTTGTCATCATGTTAACAATTAAAGAGCCTATTTTTCCCCTTAACATGTCCAATAACTTGTGGAAGAGAGTAACAAAATTGGTTTATAGAAGACTTAAAAGGTTTAAATGTAAAAATAGAGTATTAATCTAGACCACGGGTCTAACTCCTTAGATATCTCATGCTGGAAACAAATTATGAAATGTTTCAGACAAATTTTTTTCAACACAAGTTGATTATGCAGATTTAAAATTTTGACTGAAAATACATAGAACTGAGAGATTTTGTCTGAAGACACTTTTAAATACAATAAAGTAAAATGAAAATTGTATTTTAACACATCTCAGTTTGGGATTCCATCAGATTGTAAAATAATGCATGCAAAATGTGTCTAAGCTCTTCAGGGCTCATATCTAAAGAGAAGAACAGCCGGGTGCAGTGGCTCATGCCTGTAATCCCAGAACTTTGGGAGGCCGAGGTGGGAGGATCACCTGAGGCCAGGAGTTTCAGACCAGCCTGGCCAACGTAGTGAAACCCCGTTTCTACTAAAAATACAAACATTAGCTAGGCATGGTGGCACACACCTGTAATCCCAGCAACTCGGGAGTCTGAGGCAGGAGAATCACTTGGGGCCCCTCTGTACTCACTGCCCCTCCCGTCATTTTCAGGACTGCTACTTGGCACCAGCGTCTTATCTTTAGACAGACACTGTCTTCCTGGGACACCTCAACTCCCTTCCACAGGTCACTGCTAGCCTGGGTCACTGGGAAATCTGGAGGGGCCAGAGGGCACCTGTCTCAACCAGCCCTCGCCCCTAGCCAACATCTCATCGCACCAGCCCTTATCCCTAAGACCCTTTAAGTCTGGGGACTTAAGCCCTCGCCAGACAGAACTGGCTGTTGCTGTAACAAACCCCATGCTAACTGCTACATGCTTCCTAAAGAACAGACAGACACTTCACCTCTTTGAGCCTTAGCGTCCTCATTTATAAAACAAGGACTGGACCAATCTAAGCTGTCCTCGTGAATCAACAGGCAGCCAACAGACACACTGGGACTCACTTCCATGAGTGAGTTCTATTTGTGTAGTTCTGTAATTTTTCAAAGTCCTTTCTATCCTTTTCCCGACAACACCACAAAGGAAACAGGCTTTAATCGCCCTTGTCACTTTACAGCTCCCATCGCACCGTTCGACGTTCCTGTCCTGCCGCGTGACCCCGTTCCAGCAGCCTTCTATATTTGGCAGACAGAGGCGAAGTAGTTAATGTTACTTTCCTGGTGCCCAGCCACTGGACCCCCGATTCCCTAGCCCAGACAAAGGGAGCACCACACACACTCAGCTCCCCGCTTCAGCTGCCACCTCCCCTCTTCTGCCACCAGGGGGAGGCCAGCAAAGCTACTGGCAACTCACTTCAAACAGCAGGTTTCGCATTTATTTCAGAATGAAACTGCTGCTCTTCACGTAGTGTGACTTGGTCACTCTAGCAGTTTGAATCAACCGTGCTTTTCTTTTTTCTTTTTTAAAGATTAGTCAAGTGCAGTAGTGAGAAGGGGGGAAAGAGTAGAACAAGGAGTTCGATCTGTAACTGAACAATCAATTGAGATAACTCACTACCTTCGGACCAGCCTCAGCTGTGCTTTTCTTTCACATCCAAGAATCCTTACTACAAGGGATGATTAATTTAAACACATTACAGAAATCAAATCCAGAGATTCCAATGTCAACAGTGTCTCCCCAAGACATCGCTGGCCCACCTGAGAGCCTCAGAGGGTGAGAGTCTGCGTCCTGGACAGCCTGGGACGGACTATGTCAGCCCAGCCCATGGTTGGAGGAAGGACCTGGCTCTCCAAGGCTGGGCACAGGCCCACAACACAGCCACTAGAACCTAAGGACACATCTTTCTCATTTTTCCTTCACATCCTTGTCACAGTTATGCATCCTCTTCCCTGGAGCTCAGAGCCTCCTGGGGGACCTCCCCACCCTGCTGTGGCCTGGAGGAGTCTGGCAGGGCGGCTTTTCCACAAGCCCGCCCCACCTGCAACCTGCCCATGATCACATGGCCTCGGACAGTCCACCGAGGCCGGGTCACTGGGGGAAAGGACAGGCGGCTGGCCAGGGGCTGGAGGGTGCTGCCATCGGGTCGATGGCCAGAATACTACAAAGTCTGCCTAGAGACTGCAGGGTCACCGGGTCACATTAGGCAATCATGGCCCAGGTGAGGTTTTCCAAGCTGAGAAGTGGGAGAATCTGCCTGGCTGGCACCACCTGAGGCCAGCAGACCCCCGTTGGGGAAAGGGAGGAGGTCGACACACACACGAGATTCCTACAGAAGGGAAAGGGAGGCCCAAGGCGGGGTCACCATGCTTCGCCCTGTGCTGTGGGAAGGACTGGCTTCCGCATCAGTGGGTGAGAGGTCCCATGGACTTCCCCACCCAGGGCTCAGGTGCAGAAGCTATAGAGCACCCAGGTGACTCCTCTGTTCGGGCTCGTCTGCATGCTGCAGCCTCCACCTGACTCACTGCAACAGGAGATTTAAGCCTGGCTGCCTCCCCAGGTGGAAATAAACAGTACAGAATGTGGGCATAAGAACTAATTTGAAGAACGGACCATCCACACCGCCTCGTTCTGGCCACTCAAATCACACAAGAGGTTTCTCTCTCCTCTTAAAAATCACCCTGGGCGCCCCGCATTCTAAGCCTCCACAGCTTTACCTACAGACCAGGAAGGGCTTCCCATTACCACACAGAAATTCCAACCCAGGAACAGTTTAAACCTGTTTCACTTCTTTTCTTTTGAGATGGAGTTTCGCTCTTGTTGCCCAGGCTGGAGTGCAATGGCGCTATCTCAGCTCACGGCAACCTCCGCCTCCTGGGTTCAAGTGATTCTCCTCTCTTCCGAGTAGCTGGGATTACAGGCATGCGCCACAGTACTAGGCTAATTTTTGTATTTTTAGTAAAGACAGGGTTTTGACATGTCAGCCAGGCTGGTCTCGAGCTCCTGACCTCAGGATCCACCTGCCTCGGCCTCTCAAAATGCTGGGATTACAGGCGTGAGCCATTGCGCCTGGCCCATTTCACTTCTAGTGAATCCACACTGAAGATCTGCCCTCCACTGCTCACCCCTTCACCCGCCACACTCCCCAAGCTAGGATGAAAATCAGCATCCCCCACCCCCACCCCCACCTTCCTCATCCTGCAGCCTGGGAAAACTTCCCAGCAAGCAAGTGCTGGCCTAAGGAAGGCGAGGGCGGAGTGGAGTTGGGAAGGGACCGCTTGCTTTGACTTCTACCGAGACTCAAGCTGTTGTGAAACCTTCAAATTGGGTCAACAAGGGCCGACACTCGACCTGTAACAGACACAGGACTCCCCCAGTTGGAGCCTCCGCAAAAAGATGAAGTTGGACAAGTTATTTCTAAGTTGGCCTCCCACAAAGACATGTCAACAAAAGCAAAGGAGCTGCAGTGCAGTGATGAAGTGACTGGGTCCTGTGTGGCGGCATCGCAACTGAACTACAGGTACTCAGAGGAAGCATGTTTCTCTCCACACATATACCCTGGACTTTAAGCCAGTGACAACTTCTCACGATCAGAGAAGAAACAGACCTTCCCAGGCTGGAGGAAGTAATGGCCATGTTGGACTTGATGGGAGACTATGCCATTCTCTAACCCGGCTTGCCTTGGGAATTTGTTTCAAAGAATCTTGTCACCCAGATTGGAGGGCAGTGGCCCGATCTCGGCTCACTGCAACTCCTATCTCCTGGATTCCAGTGATTCTCCCACCTTAGCCTCCCGAGTAGCTGGGAATATAGACAGAAGTCACCATGCCCAAATTTTTTTTTTGAGATGGAGTCTCACTGTCACCCAGACTGGACTGCAGTGGCACGATCTTAGCTCACAGGAACCTCCACCTCCCAGGCTCAAGAAATTCTCCTGCCCTAGCCTCCCAAGTAGCTGGGACTACAGGCTCACGCCACCATGCCCGGCTAATTTTTGTATTTTTGGTAGAGACGGGGTTTCATCATATTAGTCAGGCTGGTCTTGAACTCCTGACTTCGTGATCCACCCATCTCGGCCTCCCAAAGTGCTGAGATTACAGGCGTCAGCCACTTGGCCCAGCCAAGTTTCCGTATTTTTTGTAGCGACTGGGTTTCACCATGTTGCCCAGGCTGGTCTCAAACTCCTGGACTCAAGGGACCTGCCCGCCTTAGCCTCCCAAAGTGCTGAGATTACAGGCATGAGCCACCACAGCTGGCTGCTGCTTTCTGTACTGGAGTTTGTGCTGGTTTTTCTTGAGGAAAAGGTTCTGAACCTGGGGACGCGTGGAAGCCTCCACTGCCAGCTAGTATCTTCCCATCCCCCAGCCCCCTTGACCACTGTTCCCCAGAACCCACCTCAGAAACAGAAAGATAGTCCACGGAGACTCGGCCCTGTCATCCTCAGGGGCCCGGCGTTCTAAGTGTGGCCCAAGGACCTCCAGCAGCCTTGGGTGCAGCTTCTCAGCCTCGTCGAAGATGAACAGGGTCTGATGGCAGAGCTGCTGCGTCTCCCGGATCTGGCCCTTCAGCTGCTCCTGCAAGGGATATAGCGAGCAGCTGGGGAACTGGCCAAGACTTCCACCTCCAGCCTTGCGGGCATGTGCAATAGACCCCTTGGGGCGGGGTTTCACCCCTGGGAACCTATCAAATCCAAGCTGTGGGGGCGGGCCTAGGATATTTGCATCTGATCAGCTTCCCAGGTGATTCTCCTGCACGCTGAGGGTTGAAAGCTAAACACAGTGGAGCCAGCCTTCCCTGAACTCCCAGGTGCAGAGCGCCCACTGGCAGCCTGGCTGGGCTGAGATCTCAGGGGAGCAAGCCTGCTGAAGGACAGTCTGGGCCCAACCAACCTTCCGACTCCGCTCCCGAAAGGAGCTGTGGCGGGTTCCTTGCCCCAGGCAAGAGAGTAAACCCTCAAGTGAAAAGATGGTTCTTTGCAATGTTCATCAAAATGGGCAAGGAATATATTATTTAGAGCCAGCTCCCACCCCAGGGCCCACACTCCCTGTCGACTGGGTGCACCCATGGGGGAAGGCTCGCGGTGTAAAGGTGTGCCATGCCAGTTTTCATAGTGGGGATGCTGGGGTCACAGCAGTTTTGCCACAGTCTAAGCCAGATAGCTCTTTCTGGAAAGGCCCAGCTCACCCTGCCCCTGCCCTCTAAAGCCATATGGAAATTGCCAGCAGATGGGGGCAAGCCTCTGTCCTTTAATGCTGACAGAATCTTCCCAGGTGAGCACATTCCAAATATTAGAACGGAAAGCCAAAGCCAGGTGCAGTCCTCTCTGTCAGGCTCAACGGGTTCGGTCCTCTGGCGGTATGTTTTCAATACTACATGTCTGAATGAGAAGAAACCCAAAATAGCAAAATAGCCAAGGAAATTTCTGTCCATCCACTCGCTGGTATATAATAAGCCCATATGGGAAGACATGGAAAATCTGTAAGATAGGACAGGCCTGTTTTCTAAAAAGACAGGATACTCAACTTTCTGTCCAGCGTAGTCACAATGACATAAAGAGCATGGACAAAGGTTCACACCAAAGGCAGTACATAAAATGCGAACTCTCCTTAGCTGACATGGGTGTGTCCATGCTGACAGCCTGAGAGTTTTTGCTTTTCTGTTTTTTTGTTTTGTTTTGAGTTGGAGCTCTGTTGCCCAGGCTGGAGTGCAGTGGCCCCACCTCGCCTCACCACAACCTCAGCCTCCTAAGTAGCTGGGACTACAGGCGAGTGCCACCACCCCCGACTAATTTTTGTGTTTTTAGTACAGACGGTGTTTCACTATGTTGGCCAGGCTGGTCTTGAACTCCTGATCTCATGATTCACCCACCTCGGACTCCCAAAGTACTGGGATTACAGGCGTGAGCCACAGCGCCTGGCTCCTGCCTCTCTCTGTTCTACACTGCCTGTGACATTTCACTACTTCCCCAACAAAAATCAACATGCAGCGTCCGGCCACTCGAGGGTGGCTGTTCAAGGGACAGAGCAGGGAGTGGTGTTTGGAACACCAGTCACCTCCAGATGCTCACGGCCTCTGTGAGGAGTGGACAGCTCTGTCTGTCACAGGTTCTGCCACCTGTCCCCACCTCACCAGGCTTCTCCAGAGCCTACTACCTTGCAAGGAAGGGCTGGCATGAGGGTGTCCCCCCGAGCACAGAGGCCTCACCCCAGCCCCGGTGGACCTTACCTTGTACAGGTCCACATACTTGATGTGAGGAAAGTGGATCGTGGCAATGAACATCCTGACACAGCTGCTCCTCAGCCCGTCCCGATACAGGTTCTCTGCCAGCATCCTCGCCACGAAGTTCTTCCCTGTGCCAGACCAGCCGTGGAACGACAGAGCAAGGGCCTTGTCTGGCTGGGGCGTCTCTAGGTAGCCCCTCACTGTACTCAGAAGCAGCTGCCGGACCAAATGCTGGCCATGCAGCCGCACATTGAGGTCCCACTCTAAGCCTAAGGGCAGGAAAGAGGCAGTCACAGTGAGAAGCACACACAAGCCCATCCCCCACATCAGCCAGCAGCCCAGAAACCAAGCCACTCTGAATCTCTCTCAGGTGGGATCAGTTATTCCTCCTGTTTGGCCTTAGAGTAAGAAGCCAGAGGACAGATCTTGCTGTAGAAGGGATTCAAGGACTACTTTCTTTTTTTTTTTTTTTTAGAGATGGAGTCTCACTCTGTCGCCCAGGCTAGAGTGTAATGGCAAAATCTCGGCTCACCGCAACCTCCACCTGCCGGGTTCAAGCGATTCTCCTGCCTCAGCCTCCTGAGTAGCTGTGGCGCCCACCACCACACCTGGCTAATTTTTGTATTTTTAGTGGAGATGAGGTTTCACCATATTGCCCAGACTGGTCTCAAATTCTTGACCTCAGGTGATCTGCCCACCTCGGCCTCCCAAAGTGCTGGGATTACAGGCATGAGCCACCACACCCAGCATCGAGGGCTACTTTCTGAAGAGTTTCAGAAATCAAGATGGGACTCAGGGAGAGGGCGGTATCACCCTTCCTGAGGATCCTGCAGATACCCAGAACAGTTGGCCCAGACGTCTGGGGAGGAACCCCATCCCCCATGTCCTGAGGCTACTCCCATCCTGTGGTTTCAGGGCTCCGTTTTATGGAGAAGCCTGATATTATTCATTCTGATTCAATTCAGCCAACACTTGTTGAGAGCATCTCCGGCCGTGCAAAGTTCTCTGCTAGGCCTAACTTCCTCTCAGCCAGGAGGCTGCAGGATTTGGAGACAGGTCTACCAGGAGCCGCGGTGGAAACAGGGAGGGTGTGCTGCCAGCTGTGGGCGACATCCTGACCATTCCAAGTTCAAGACCAATTGGTCGAACACCTCAAGCCAGCCCAGAGTGGATATTCTGGAGCCTTCGGAGGTCAAGGTCTATGATAAAACACTGAGGGTATCATACATTGGTCCAAAAGTAGTAGGAACATAGAAGAAAATTAACATTTGCTGCTTTTTTTCCCTCTGTATTCAGAACTGGGCTAAGTGTTTTACATTTAGTCTTCACAATTCTGCAAGGCAGGCATTATTCTTCCCATTTAAAGCTGAGGAAACTGGCTGGGCGCAGTGGCTCACGCCTGTAATCCCAGCACTTTGGGAGGCTGAGAGACCAGCCTGGCCAACACGGTGAAACCCTGTCTTCTACTAAAAATACAAAAATGAGCAGGGCATGGTGGCATGTGCCTGTAATCTCAGCTACTCAGGAGGCTGAGGCAGGAGAATCGCTTGAGCCTGGGAGGCAGAGGTTTCAGTAAGCCAAGATCATGCCACTGCAATCCAGCCTGGGCAACAGAGAGACTCAGTCTCAAAATAAATAAATTAAATAAATAAATAAAGCTGAGGAAACTGATGCTTGGGAAGGACTCCTCAGTTTGCCAGCAAGGCAGAGGCAAGACTAGGAATCCAATGGAGGCCTCCAATTCCCTGGCCACAACAATTTGTAGAACAGACACGTTGAGGACAGAAAGTAACTCGCTAATTGCCACTTAGGGTCTTATCCAAGTCAGCGATGATCCAGATTCAGACTTCCTGACCTATGTAGTCCAGTCTTGTGTCCTGAGCCAGACTGTGTCCCTAACACACTGTGTTATTGGCATTTTGGCCAATTAAGTGACCTAAATACCTAGGGTGGACCCCATTTATGGAGACTGAAGGAGCTGGGGTTGGGTGAACTCTAGGCAAGAAATTGCTCCTAAGGAAAAGAGAGAAAGCTTTTGCAAATATCAGAATAGGCTTCAGAACTTGGGGCCAAAGATCACCCTGTGAGTGAAAATGCCAATCAACTGCAATATGCAAATCAAGCCACCCAAAGTAATTAGAAAGTACTAGGAAGGAAGGTTGGTAAATCATGACTCACAGGTAGCTGGGCGCCAGAGAATGCACAGGGATATTTCCCTGTGATGGTGACTACGAATTAGTTATAATCAGAAACAGTCTTTTTTTCTCTCAGGGCGTGGAGCCGCAGAGGCCTCCCTACTGATCCCAGATAAGCCAGGAAAGGACTGCTGCATCACCCGGACATTTGTCAGCTAAGCGTCAGCAAGGGACACTTTCAATCACAACCCACAATCTCCAATCGGTTCTCTCACTGGATACATCCAGCCCCCTCTGAAAGGTCGACGTTTAGAGCAAGACACGGTGTTCTGGGCCTGACTCTCCTTAAGATCGAAGATGTTGGATTATGAGTTAATTCCTGCAAAACTCTTAGCACAGTGCCTGGTATGTATAATAGATATTAGCTATTCTCTTCTTGGAGAGGCTCTCAGGGCTCAGACCGACATGACCAGGGGTGGGTGGTAAGCGAGCAGAGGAAACCCTGTTTAGACAGGGGACACACGGTGGTAACGAGGGGCCCGTCCGACATCTGGCAGTGCTCCCTCCTCCCAGCTCAGCTGAGTGTCACTTGTTCATGACATTCCCATGGATCCTCAAGATCCACGAAACAGCTCAGTTTGCCTAGGGTATTAAGCTAGAGGCTCAAATCCCCGAGTCCCATCTTGACTCAAGCATTTGGTACTCCAAAACTTCGCAGATCCTGCCTGTGGGGAGGCTGGGCAGGATGACGAAAGGTCCCCTGCATCTAACCATTTCCCCTGGACAGCCTCCCTCCCCACAGATTCCTAGCCCCTTAAAGCCAAGCGGGGTCCAACCTGTAAAGTTGTTGGAGATCCTGCAATCCCCACTGGGGCAGCAGTCTCGGAAGCTGCAGTACCACGTGGTTAGGAGATCCAGGTACCGCTGACCTAACAGGCGAAGGCGCCAGCCTGGAAAAGGAGGAGCCATGAGACCCAGAGGAGACCATCCGGTGCGCGACAGAGATGCGGCAACCCTGCCACACGATTCGTCAGGGACAAAGCGACACCCAGAACTCAGATCCCAACTCCCGGCCCGGGCTCCGCCCACGGTCGGCCCTCAAGCCCTGCATCCACAAGCAGCAGGGGAGAAGGCAGTCACCAGGCGTGTCCACAGCGGACGTTCCCTAGAGCTGTCAGGGGCAGACCTTCGAATGACGCCAGGGGGGCTGGGAGGCGGCACAGGCGGTGCGAGCCAGTCTGGAAGGAGCGGGGACGGGGGCGGCGGGAGCTGGGACGGGGGCGGCGGGGCAGGCAGCCGGGACTCAGGGGGTGTATCGGGGCCGCGGGTGGGGCCGGGCGGCGTCGGGCTGCCGGCTCCGCGGAGGCTGCAGCACCCACAGCCGGTACCTGGGGCCGCGCGGAGCAGGACTGTGGGCCGAGACGTCCCTGGGGCAGGAGCGAGGCGACCACAGCCGCGCCCGGATGGCACCCTGCTCCGCAGCGAATGGCGGCCGCGGGCACGGGGTCTTACCCGGGGACCCCGCGGCTCCCTCCTCGGCCTCGTCACAGTCGTCGGGCCACACCTGGCGGCTGAAGAGCGTCCAGTACCGCTTGGAGAGGGCGGCGGCCGCCCTCAGCCGCTCCTTCAGGCGCTGGAAGCCCGGCCAGGCCCAGGCCGAGCGCGGCTCGTCGGTCTCCTCCCACGGCCTCGAAGCGCCGCTGGGCTCGGGCGCGCCGGGGAGCGGCAGCAGCAGCAGGACAAAGAGCCAGAGCGGGCGCCACGGGCCGCGAAGCATGACCGGCCCCGGGCTGCAGGCCCCTCCGGCCGCGGGGCTCGCCGGCTTCACTTACGGCCGGCGGTGGGGGGATTGGGGGTGGGGGGCGGGCGTGAGCCGGGATTGGTGTTGCTGTGGCGACCGGAGGGCGGGGCAGAGCGCGCACTGGCAGCCTCCGCACACGTGACCCGGGCGGGAACCTGAAACCCTGGCTGAGGTCGCGAGAGGCGGCCCCGAGACCCACTTCAGGCCGGTGCAACTAACCGGCTTCCCGGAAGCAGTTTATTCTGGGTCGTGACTGGTTGCAAAGGAGGTGAAATCAGGCTTTGAAATGGCCACTGCCAGTCGCTCCGCCAGGACTTTCGGACGGCTCTGGTGGCCCATCAGAGGCCTACGGAATAAGGACACTCGTGCTCTGCCTCGCGTCTGCAGCTCAACTTCCCGCCAACCTGTCAGACGAAGCCGGGAAACCGCCTCAGCCAGGAGCAGTGGGTGGGCCAGGGGAGTCAGCTGAGTGGAGAAGAGGCCCTGGGAAGAAGGGCGCAGCTGGGTGCCTGTCTGGTTAAGGTTGCCCTGGCTCCTCCGCAGAGGGAAATGAAACTGCAACCGAGTCCACGAAAAGAAAGAGGAAGCTGATTGTTGGGCTCCAGTCTGGAGGTGTTTGGATTTTGGAAACCCCCGAGTCATGGGTAAATCATAAGATTTACCTGCTACTGCACTCCAGCATGGCGACAGAGCAAGACTCTGTCTCCAAATAAATTAAACAAAAACAAATAAATAAGGCTAAGTACTGTGTGCACTTTCCTGGCTAGGTTTGCAACTTTGAAGTGCTGTGACTGAGCAGCCAATCCGACACCGCTGGCAAAAGACTACAGCGCTCTTCTCCATAGCGAGGAGCTTGGAACAAGGCTGTTGTTAGATTTCAGAAGGGCTTAATGCATTGCTTAAAATCACCTGGCTTTCTGATGGCTGTAAATAGAAAATGCATAAATAAATAAATCACCTGGCTTACTGCAGCCAGTGGCCAAAAAGCCATCTTGCCTTTAGAGAAAACTGCTGTCTAGAGAGATCAGAGGACTTGGCTAATGTCATATGTTTAGTAGCTTTGAGGTTGAGCCCTCCAGACAGTAAGGTGAATACTAGCACCGTGTCTCACCGATGTCGCGGGGAACTTGACTCACCTGTTCACCCCAGTCTCTTAGATCACACCCAATGCCAGGTCTGCTCCATTCTCAGCAGCTTACCAAATTTTCGCCTGCCTTTCGTTCAAACGCCTACGGAAACCAGATAAGCACCTTTGCTAGGACACCACAAGGTTCAGTTGAAAAGTAAAATGTTTGTAGTGTCTCATTCAGTGTGATGTCAAAAACTTTTCATAGAGTAGCAGCCAGGGCACCTGCCCGGCACTGTGTGCCTCTGGGCTTGTGGAATCCACCGGAAACAGTTAACAATGCACACACCACAGCGCTTATTGGAAAACAAAAAATTAGGCCGGGTGTGGTGGCTCATGACTGTAATCCCAGCACTTTGGGATGCCGAGGAGGATGGATCACCTGAGATCGGGAGTTCAAGACCAGCCTGGCCAACATGCAGAAACCCATCTCTACTAAAAATACAAAATCGGATGGCGCGGTGGTGGGCATCTGTAATCCCAGCTACTTAGGAGGCTGAGGCAGATGAATGGCTTGAACCCAGGGGGCAGAGGTTGCAGTGAGCTGAGATCGAACCACTGCACTCTAGCCTGGGCAACGGAGTGAGACTCCATCTCAACACCAAAAAAAAAAAAAAAAAAAAAAAAATAAAAAAAAAAAAAAAAAAAAAATGCTGCTGGGCGCGGTGGCTCACGCCTGTAATCCTAGCACTTTGGGAGGCGGAGGTTGCAGTGAGCCGAGTTCGTGTCACTGCACTCAAAGCCTGGGTGACAGAGCGAGACTGTCTCAAAAAAAAAAAAAAAAAAACTCATTCAACAAACATCGTTTGAGTCTGAATGGCAGTCTAGCATAGTGATTACCATTTTCTATTTGTGCAACCCTGGGTGTTACTGAAGCATCCTATGCCTGTTTCCTCGCCTATAAAAAAGGGATCATAAAATAGTCCCCTCATAGGGATGCTGTGAAGATTCAATGAGCTCATTCAGAGAGTGTGGCATCAACACTGAATACATAGTCACTTTTATTTTTGTATCTACCCAGCCCTGGAGGAGGCTGTGGGTGGTCTCTTCAGGAGGCGAGGATGGCCTAATACTGGTGAAGTTTATATGTGAATTTATGGTGAAAAATTTACTAGTAGTAACAACAGTTTATTAAAACAGTCCAAGTTTTAAGAATTAAAGAATTCTTAATTGTTTAATTATCTGTGGAAAGGATTATCTCTAACTTTCATGTAGGGATAACTGCTCATTTCTGAGATGTTTTGATTTGGATTTAGCATCCCATGGTAAATAACGTAGGTTAGCTGCAAAGTTCTTTGACAACCAACTTGATTTCAAGACATTTTTTCCTTAAAAAAAAAAAAAGAGATAAACGCTCTTTCACCAGTCAGTTTTGTGTAGAAACAATAAATCCAAACACCAGTTTCTAGACAAGTCTCTTGAGTATTTCAATAAATACCCATTTTGGTCTCAGGGCTTGGAGGCTGTGCTGGTTTTAAAGGTCTAGGAGCTGTATCTCATGGATGACGAGGACATCTAGAGGCTACTGGGAAAACTACAGACGGCTGATTTTTTTTTTTTTTTTTTTTTTTTTTTTTTTTTTTTTTTTTTTTTTTTTTTTTTTTTTTTTTTTTTNTAGCTGGGATTACAGGCACGCACCACCATGCCCAGCTGATTTTTTGTATTTTTAGTAGAGACGGGGTTTCACCATGTTGACCAGGATGGTCTCGATCTCTTGACCTTGTGATCCACCTGCCTCGGCCTCCCAAAGTGCTGGGATTACAGGCGTGAGCCACCGCGCCCAGCCTTCCTTTCTTTTCTTTTTTGAGACGAAGTTTTGCTCTTTTTGCCTAGGCTGGAGTGCAATGGCACGATCTCGGCTCACTGCAACCTCTGCCTCCGATTTCAAGTGCTTCTCCTGCCTCAGCCTCCCAAGTACCTGGGATTACAGGTGCACACCACCATGCCCGGCTAATTTTGTATATATATATTTTTAGTAGAGATAGGGCTTCACCATGTTGGCCAGGCTGGTCTTGAACTCCTGACCTCACTGCCTGCCTTGGCCTCCCAAAGTTCTGGGATTACAGGTGTGAGCCACCAGGCCTGCTGACAGCTGTGATTTTACAAGCATTATGGTACTACTCCAGTGTGGTCCCCGAACCCCAGCACTGGCATCACCCAGGAGCTTGTCAGAAATGCAGAATCTCAGGCCCCAGACATACTGAATCAAAACCTGCACTTTAAGGTCTTTCTTTAAATGAAAGTTGCCAGGTTAAAAACAACAACAACAACAACAACGAAGGTCTTTCTGCGCAGGGAGTCATGGCTCATGCCTGTAATCCCAGCACTTCGGGAAGCTGAGGCAGGAGGGTTGCTTGAGCCAGAGTTTGAGACCAAAAATAAAAATAAAAAATTATCGGGGTGTGGTGGTGCATGCCTGCAATACTAGCTACTTGAGAGGCTGAGGGAGGAGGATCATTTGAGCTCAGGAGTTTGAGGCTGCAATGAGCTATGATTGTGCCATTGCACTACACTCCAGCCTGTGACAGAGCAAGACTGTCAATCCAAAAAAAAAAAGGCCTAAGGCAGAATGGGCACATGCACCTTTACTGATGTCATCTGAATGTAACCTAGCGTTACAACAGATATCTTCCCAACCCCGCTGAAGGCAGTCAGAACCATCTGCCTTGGAAACACTCTGGGTCAAAAGCAAGTCTCGGCCTGGCGCAGTGGCTCATGACTATAATCCCAGCATTTTGGGAGACCGAGGCAGGTGGATAACTTGAGGTCAAGCATTTGAGACCAACCAGCCTGGCTGATATGGTGAGACCCCATCTCTACGAAAAAACAAACTCTGAAAACATTACAGGAATATTTCCCAGCTCATCCATGTTCCTTTAACATTTATACAGCACTTGAGGTGGACTAAGAATGTCCTCTCAAGAGACAGGGCACACAAACATTTCCTAGAACAATGAGAAACCTCTGAAGGGATATTTCTGGTGAATCAGGTACTAAAAATACAGGCCCAGGAGGCCCTGGACCCACTAAGCAAATAGTTCTGCATTTCTGGAGTCAGGGGTCCTATACACACCTCTTGTCAAGCCTGGATCAATCTCCCCTTTTTCTTTTTTTTTTTTTGAGACGGAGTTTCACTCATGTTACCCAGGCTGGAGGGTTCGGGCAATTCTCCTGCCTCAGCCTCCTGAGTAGCTGGGACTACAGGCATGCACCACCATGCCCAGCTAATTTTTTGTATTTTTAGTAGAGACGGGTTTCACCATGTTGACCAGGATGGTCTCGATCTCTTGACCTTGTGATCCACCCGTCTCGGCCTCCCAAAGTGCTGAGATTACAGGCTTGAGCCACTGCGCCCGGCCAATCTCCCCTTTTTCAATGTGGGTCCTGCCTAACCCAATCCCTACCTCCATGATCCTCTCCTGTTTCTTATTCTCACTGCAATTAATTTTTTTATTTTATTTTTTTTAAGACGGGGTTTCACCATGTTGGTCAGGCTGGTCTTGAACTCCCGACCTGAGGTGATCCGCCTGCCTTGGCCTCCAAAGTGCTTGGATTACAGACATGAGCCACCACGTCAGGCCTGCAATTAATTTCTGTAATTTCTGAGGGACTTGGTGCCTCACAAGCATTTTTTTTTTTCCTGGCAGGTCTAGACTGCAGGCTCTTTGAGGGAAAAGACAGTCACTATCATCTCAGGGGTAACCACAGCTCAAAGCACACTGGCCCAAAGATCTACTGATGACAGACCAAACATCTTTCTCACAAATTGTGATTTAATACCATTATTCCTTGGGGCTTTTACTGCAACTTACCTTACAAAACCCTGCCCATGGAAATCCAGTGGTTATGACCATTCCTACCTATTTTACAAAATGAAGGCTGCTAAGTATCAGTTTTTTGTTTTTTTTTTTTTTTTGAGACAGAGTTTTGCTCTTGTTACCCAGGTTGGAGTGCAATGGCGCGATCTCAGCTCACCGCAACCTCCGCCTCCTGGGTTCAGGCAATTCTCCTGCCTCAGCCTCCTGAGTAGCTGGGATTACAGGCACGCGCCACCATGCCCAGCTAATTTTTTGTATTTTTAGGAGAGACGGGGTTTCACCATGTTGACCAGGATGGTCTCGATCTCTTGACCTCGTGATCCACCCGCCTCGGCCTCCCGAAGTGCTGAGATTACAGGCTTGAGCCACAGCGCCCGGCCAGGATTCATAATTCTTTACCTCTAAGGAAGCTGT